AAAAAAAAAAAAGATAAGGTTATAACTTGCGCGACCCAGGTCACATTGTGACCTCGGGTCGCGACCGATTCTTGTGTAAAAAATGGGACACTTGTCTCATTTTTATTAAATAAGTGTATTTTTTGGTTTTAAAAAAAATAAAAAAATACTAAAATTCATATTTTTTCATTCTCTACAAATAGAGACCACACTTGATATATTTTAGGACACAATTATAATTTTTAAATAAATTAAAATAAAATAAATATTTAGATTGAGTTGGGTTGGGGATAAAGATAAAGGGGGTGTCTATATGTACACCCCCTTGTGTGTAAAAAATTGGTGTACATATAGCACTTTTCTTTGTGTAATTTATTAAAAGGGGGTGTACATATAGCATTGCCCATAAAAAATTTATTTGTGAGGTTGAGTTGTGTAAGTAGAGGAGAGAGAAATAATTTTTAATTGTTAGGTTGGGTTGGGTTGGGTTGGGTTGTGGATAAAAATAGTCTTAAGGGCCGTACTGGCCCGTGAACCGCCGGGCCGGTGAACCGGCGGTTCGGGCCGGTTTTATGAACCGGCCCTTCTTTCCTAGCGGGCCGGTCGCGGTTCGACTGTTTGAGGGCCCGTGGCCCGGCGGGCCGGGCCGGCCCTGGCCACGTCTAGTGTTTAGTACATAATTTACAGTATTGTATAAATAAATTTGTTGGGATTTTCAACATTGTAAATTAATTTCACACAAAATTGTAATTTGAGTTTGGTAGAATTGAATGTAAGAGAATTTCAACTTGGCTTGTTCACTATCTGATGACATTTAGAGTCGATATTTTTTTTTACTTATAATTTTGGACGTACAAAGGAGAGCTAAAGTCAACTACAAGCAAGTACCTTCAGTTATATTTGCGTGTACTTGTCGAGTTTGAGAGAAGAAACCTTAGATTTGGAAATAGGCTTATCTTTTGCATTGGGGGCATGTGGTGCGCTACTACTTCATTACATTTGTGTCACGATCAGAGATCTGAGTGAGCAACCGACCTGTAGTTGTCCTCGTAGTATTATTGCGAGTGAGGAACCAAGCTTGTAGTTGTCCGCTGCGCTTTTGTATGCAGATCGATTGTATGAACCACAATTTGGATCTATAAATTTACTTTTACCAATTAAAAAAAAAAAATACAAAAGGAAAAATGATTTATTGATGAAATGACAGATAAATGTACCTAGCAAAATAGTTTTATACTTTTATCCAAACAAGTAAACGCGTAAATTAACACTATGTTTAAGTCAATTAATTTAAATTACAGAAAGTACAGGTCAAGCTTAATTACCATGTTGCAGTTGATTAATACCCTAACAAACATTTAGTTGAATTAATTGTAAAAAGCCCCTCAACTATGGAATAATTATGTTCAAACAAGCTTCAAACAATGTATTCTGTTTGGCCCCATGATTTCATGATTATTAACAAATGGCACATAATGTAATGGGGAAAGAGAATAAACTAATTTATTAGTTAACTTATTAAAAATATGCTTAGCTCTCGGTGGGAAAAATGAGTCAAATGACGCGCAACAACATGTTATTTTCCAACAAAGCTGCCAACAATTTTCGCGCGGGTTATGAGTTGTCATGATATGATTGACTAGTTTTATGTGCAAATAACCCCTTGGATGAGATGGTTTGAGTCTCTTCTAACTTAACCAGTGGTCTCGTATTCGAGCCCTGGGAATGCAGCAGTGTTAAAACTTTTGAGGGAGAGTTTTGCCGTCCTTGTGGTCCTACCCGGCTCGATTCCGGATTAGTCGGTTTCCTGTGGATCCGGAAACCAGAAAGTTCTTGTACCAAAAAAAAAAAAAAAAAAAAAAAAAAAAAGTGATAGATAATATGAATATTTTGCAATTAATTGTAGTTTTATGATAAATAATACTTATCCGAAGTCGAAGTTTATAGTTTTTATATGTGGGTGTTTGATTCAACCTCTTTTATCTTTCTCCACCCCAATTTGAGCAGTGTGGGGGAGGGTAGTTAGTTGCGGCACTCGCTGCGCCGCCCTCCCGTCGGCTAGGGTTGGGGTCAGCGTACCTTTTTTTTTTTCCTCCTCTGACCTCGAGCTGGTCGGGAGCAGCCTGAATGCTTTTCCTCGTTCCGCTCGGTCGGTCGCAATTCAAGCCTCTGTTCATTAATTTTCGAGGACATTCAATTTCCATGGTATTAGGGTTAGGGATTTAGGCATAGTTTTGGCTCTTCAATTATTTAATTTTAATCAACGACGATTTCGTTTGGGGAAGCGGGAGGTTCCCGGTGGCTGTGTGCTCTTCCTTAGCCTTGGCGGTGGAGGTTCGACTCGCCGAAATTGTTCTTATTGCCTTTGATGTTGAAGTTCTTTGGAGATCAAGTCTGGATCGAGAATCACCTATTTGCCAGATATGTTCAGGCGAATCGAGTTTGTTTGCAATTTTTGGGTATGTGGTTTTGGTTTGTAACTCTATTAGGATTTTGTGTTGCGGGATTAGCTGGGGTGCCGGATTGGGTGGTAGTGCGTTTTGCCTGCAAGTTTTAGGGGAGGTATTATTATTAATTGTTTTTAAGTATGTGTTGTTTTGTGTTAATTTTCTATTATTCATTTTGTTAGTCCAGCTGCATTTGGCTTTTAAACTCGTAAATGGGGTTTGTGTCTCATTTATGGAGCTTTTTTTTTACGGGTGTTTGTGTCTCCTCTATAAAATCTGTACCCTTTGTTACTTGTGTAATTCCAATGGAGTAGGTCCAGACTTTGTTATTGTTTTTGTGGTGTCAGTTAACACCTAGGTTGTACTCTTGGTTTTCAGTTTTAAGATAATTATTGTTTGGAAAAGAAAAACTCAACCTGCCCAATACACTTTTTATTAGTGAGGGAAAAATAATTAAGTTGCAAATAAAATTTATTCTGTACCACTGAAAATTTCGTCTTTCATAAGCTAAAAATTAAAAAATATATTAAATTCATTTTAGGATGAATGAGGCTAGTACAAAATAAATGTCAATACAATGAAAAACTATCGAAATGAAGTTTGATATAGCTCCAACTCGGCTGAACTGAGATCAACATAAGAAACCAAGCAGAACAACCGGTTCAGACTAAATGCAGCTCGTATGACCTTAATTAACGAGAATGGACATGCAGGAAATCGACCGAGATATTCAACTCGGTCACATGAAGACAAGTGAGTCTATCTTGAGTTACTAACCGAGTTGTCTAGCTCGATCATACTTAGGATGGCCTAATGGAATTGAACAAATATATGCGAGCTAATAAACTCACAAGACCTACAATTCTAGTATAATAAGGCCTGACGGGGTAAAGAGTAGTGTGAACCTAATAGTGTGAATTCAATGAGATAAGGATGAACACAATTAGATAAGGATGGACCTCCAGTAGTTGGGAAACTCTTGGGGGCCATAAGTCTTTGGCACCAAGGTATACATCCTATATAAATGGATAAGGTACAATTGTAATA